CAGACTCACCAAGTTGTGTTTTGTTTCTTTTTCTCCCATTCAGAAAATATCAGATATACTTGTCCCTTTCACAAGACCATGGTAAACTAAGGAAACTTGAGAATCTACAAGTTTCCCTGATTTTTTTTTTTTTTAATATAAAGTAGCATCTACAAGATTGAGCCATGAAATTCATTAAGAGCTTTTTATTTTCTCACTTAACATTGGGATTTTCTTTCAAATCCTTAAAAATTTGTAAATAAACCAGGGTGGAAGAATTCACTGCTATCATCAAAAAGCTTTTGATTACTCTCCTTTATCCTTCCCATTTTCTAAGCACCTTTGTATTCATTTGAGTTGGGAATTGAATCCCAGTGAATTACAAGATATTTAGTGATTCTTCCTGATCATTTTTTCCAGTATTCAGATGATTTGATTTCTTGACAAAAACTTGAGTTGATTTCTTGGATTGGTGCAAAGCATTTATGAACTGCTCTTTCTCCTCTTCTACCTGCTCCAAGAATAATAAAGCTGGATCACATTCTCTGGAAAGGAGTATTATTTCAATGAAGCTATTGCATAAAACTTGTAGCGATTAAAAAGCATTTGTCATTCTGAATGAGCACAGTTGCCATTTCATATAAAATGGATCAGTAGTTGTAAATTAAAAAGTACTTAGAACAGTATTAGGTTAGTACTTTTTATTTTTATCATTAGAATGTTAATTTCATGAGAGTAGAGATTTTGTTAATGTGTTGCATATAGTAAGTATTTTTCACTGTTGTTATTGAGTCAGCATATAATGTTGTTACGTACCATTGAATAGGTTCCAAATTATAGTGACTGTGCACAACAAAACTAAATGCTGGCCAGGCCTGAATCATCCTCACAGTCGTTACTGTGTGTGAACCCATTGTTGTAGCCACTGTGTCACTCCATCTTGTTCAGGGTCTCCCTCTTTTTCACTGACATTCTATGTTTCCAAGCATGATGTCCTTCTCTAGGGACTGGTCCCTCCTGATAACATGTCCAAAGTGTGTGAAATAAAGTCTCAGCATCCTTGCTTCTAAGGAGCATTCTGGCTGTACTTCCTCCAAGACAGATTTGTTAGTTCTTTTAGCAGTCCACTGTATTTTCAGTATTCTTTGCCAACACTACAATTCAAATGAGTAAATTCTTCTTCAATCATCCTTATTCATTGTCCAGCTTTCCTATGCATTTGAGGTGATTGAAAATATGATGGCTTGGGTCAGGCACACCTCGGTCCTCAAAGTGACATCTCTACTCTTTAACACTTTGAAGAGCTTTTTTGCAGCAGATTTTCCTAATGTAATACATTGTTTGATTTCTTGACTTCTGCTTCTATGGCGGTTGATTGTGGATCTAAATAAAATGAAATTCTTGACAATTTCACGTTTTTCTCCATTTATCATGATGTTACTTATTGGTCCAGTTGTGAGGATTTTTGTTTCTTCATGTGGTGGTATAATGCATACTGAAGGCTGTAGTCTGTATTCATCAGTAGGTGCTTCAAGTCATCTCCACTTTCACTGAGCAAAGTTGTATCATCTGCATATTTCAGGTTGTTAATGAGTCTTTCTCCAATCCTGATGCCGTGTTCTTCTTCATGTAGTCCAGCGTCTCAGATTATTTGCTCAGCATACAGATTGAGTAGGTATGATGAAAGGATACAACCCTGATGCACACCTTTCCTGATTTTAAACCACACAGTATCTCCTTGTTCTGTTCGAACGATTGCTTCTTGGTTTATATACAGGTTCTTTCTGAGCACAATTAAGTGTTTGGAAATCCCATTCTTCAGAATGTTATCCGTAGCTTGTTATAATCCACACAGTCACATGCCTTTGCAAAGCCAATAAAACAAATTATCATCTTTCCGGTATTTTCAATGTTCAGCCAAGATTCATGTGACATCAGCAAAGATATCCCTTATTTCATAGTAATTGCATATTGTCTAGAAGTTGTACTGCTAATATAGTTTTCTCAAAATGTTTAATCTCTAGGCTGAATTTCACAAATCTGTACCATTTTATTGTCCTGTGTAGTCCAGTAATACTGGACATCAGTTTGAACATTAGATACAATGTGATTTCAATATAGTTCTGCTTGCAGTAGAGAAATAATAATAGAAAAATGAAACTCTCCTTCATTATAGGTGATGGTTTTCATCAATCCTAGTTCTAGGAGAATCTTAATGATTTTGGTCTGAGTCATGAATCTTACATGAAGCCCCAAAACCATCATGATACCCTGTCAAGTTCAAGTAACACGAGCTCTGACGGTACATATTAAAAAGGTTTGCAGATTCTGCAAAGTTTTATGCTATAGCCCTTCTGAAAGGAGCCCTGGCCTGGTATAACTTCTAGGTCTCTTCCTATTCTAAACTGCTGAGTTTGTCCCTCTCCTTGTTTGAGGCAGCCTTCTTCATTCTCCAAACATGAGGCCCTTCTGGTCAATTTGCTTTCATTCTTGAAAGTAGCAGATAATGATGTGTTGTGGAAATTCCAGGGTAGAAAGGTCCAAGACATCTGTTAGCACGTAGTGCCCTCTTAAATTAGCTAGTGCTCTTCTATGCCCAGGGCTCTGGGTGTAGAAGGAATATAGGAGAGGGTTTCTCCATTGATCCAGCTGGAAATACCAGACTAATGTCCTTTTTCCGTCTACGTGGCCTTTTGTCTGAACTGCTTTCTTCATATTGACTTTGTTCCCAGCCCCCCAGCCCTATCCCTAGCCATCTATTATATCTTGGATCAATATTATCTCTGTCCTACACCTCCAAATTACTTTATATCCCCCTATTTTGTGCTGTTTCTCCTTTATGGCATTGAAAAAAAAAAAAAGACTCACTGCCGTCAATTCAGATCCAACTCATAGTGATCTCTCCTTGGGTTTCCGAGGCAGTATCACTATGGAAGTAGATTGCCCAGCCTTCCTTCTGAGGAGTGGCTGGTGGGTTTGAACCGCCAGCCTTCTGGTTAGCACTCAAGTGCCTTAAGTACTATGCCATCAGAGCTCCCATATAATTACAGCTCTATATAATGGTAGCATAGTGCCTAAGGCTAACCAGAAGGCTGGCAGTTCAAACCCATCAGCCACTCCTTGGAAGGAAGGTTGGGCAATCTACTTCTGTAGTGATACTGCCTCGGAAATCCAAGGAGGAGTTGCTGTGAGTCAAATCTGACTCGCCAGCACATAACAACAACAACATATAATTACTACCTGTTTGTGTGCATCATAATTTGATTCCATATGCCCCACTAACTGCAAGCTCCATGTAGGCAGGGACCATATCTCTCTTATACTTCATTGTGGCCTCCTGGTCTAGCTGCATGCCTGGCTCAGAACTGCTCAAAAACACTTGGCAGAATTAATCTTCTAATTGTGGCATTGAGGCTCTGCTTCTGAGCCAAAGCAAAGCAATACTATGTAGGAGCCTTGGTGGCACAGTGGTCAAGCACTCAGCTGCAAACTGGAAGGTCAGTGGTTCGAACCCATCAGCAGCTCCATGGAAGGAAAGACTCAGAGATCCGCTCAAAAAAAGATTACAGCTTAGGAAAGTTTTCTAAGGGGCTCCTCTGTCCTGTAGGGTTGCTGTGGGTTGGAATCAATTCAGTGGCAAACACTAATAATTTCAAATTGCTGTTTTGATGTAGGGCATGGTTTCTATTTACATAATTGGATAATTATATTAGCTTTTAAAATCTGAAAGTGTAATTATTTGCTCTTTGAGTATTGTTAAAATAGCCCTTGTCAGAACAGTCAAATCAAAGTAGCCACAACAAAATTGATACTTATATTCCCTTCCTGACTTGCAATCTTTACTTCTTAAGTCTCACTCACTGCAGATAGCCTTTCCAAACTAGCCATTGCCGGCATTTGTCATCATAATTAGGAAGAGGTACAAAAGTTGACATTGTGGCATACTCACTCTTGATTTTAGGTTGCTTTTTGCTGTTTCATGTGGGTCATCTCCTATCTTGGATTGTAAGGTCCTGTGGGGATTGCTGACCTCCCAGCCCCCACAGTGGTGGTCCATCCCCTGCTCTCTTCCCAGGTCCCCTCCATCACTGCCATGGAATGCTGTGGAATGACTTGGAATGGCATAGAATGCCTGGATTCTGATAAAACGTTTTGAATAACTGACAGAAAACAATCAGTATTGACTTGGAAGCTACTTTTAAATAACTAATAGTGGTTGCTTCGTATTTGGCAATGTAATTCTACTGTAAACAAAGAGAATTTATGAGAAGCAACAAGGAAAGGTATTAAAGCAATACTGAACTTATTTGTATATGTGGAGGAGTAGTTTGTATATGTGGAGGTAAGGAAGGGACCAGGCTAATTTAGTATTACAGAACCAAGCTGGTATTCTTTGGGGTGAGGCTGGGGGCCTTTATTTACTACCTAAATTTCCACATAAAAATGGCTTAAAACATATATGCTCAAGAAAACTTGAGTCAGATTACTGCCAGGCCCCCTCCCTTTAATACCATACCATATTTTGATTTACCATTAAAACAAGGCCACGGACAGACTGGGTTGGGAGGAGGGGAATTCTAAAGGAAAGGCGAGTGTGAAGTAAAAGTGCACATTAGGTATCCTAAACTATTATTCACAGCCTCAGGAGAGGGGGTGGTGACAGAAAAGGCATGCAGTTTTCACTTATGCTGGACAGGGCACTTTACTCTAGGAAACAAAAGTCCCTGGTCTCCTTTCAAAGCAGTGAAAATAATTATCTTTGGTGTTTACACTCTAAGATGCCTCTCTGTCCTCTCCATGTCCCCATCAGTGTGTTTTTCCCCCTTCCTCCTCTCGAATGCTTTTTCCTGCCTGCTTACTTATGGTTTGTACTACTTCCTTAATGAAAGTGCCCTCTTTTTTTCTGATGCAATTACGCCTGCAGCTGATTTTATTTCTCTTTCGCTCAGCCCTGAACAGACTTTGGAAAGTAGAGAAGAAAATCAAATCTGCTTTTGGGGGACATTAAACAACCGAATAAATGCAGGTATGTAGATTTTCATATTAAAAAGAGAAGGAAAATAAAGGAAATGTCCAGCTTTTAAAAACAGTAATGAAATTGTGATCTTGGATCTTTAGGGCTATCTGTATCATTGCATTTAATTTTAAAAAATGACATTTAATTTTTTTTTCATTTCAAATGTTGACTGTAAAAAATTTCCAACAGTACAAAAACACGGAAAGTACAAAGTCAGAATTCCCTTGTAATCTCTCCTAGATAGTCCCCACTGCTAATAATTTATTGTATGTTCTTCTAGGCTTTTGCATGTATATGCATAACCCAAAGCATCATACTATGCATGTTATGCTTTTTTCATTTTGAAATATATCATGTGTGTCTTGCATTGCTGATTCACATAGCTTTAACAGTTGTATAGTATTCCCTTGTGCCAATATAAATATTTAATGAGTCTTCTTCAGTTGGACATTAGGTTTTTTTTTCCTGTTTCACATGGTACTACATTTTCCATGTATAATTCTGTGATTTGCCTGATTATTTATTTCCTTAGGATTAAAGGGTATAACACCAAAGGTTATGTAATTTTAGTAGCAGTAGTAGCAATATTAGTAACTAATAACATCAGTCCATGACATCAGTGGTTCTGGAATAGGCCTCATTTTTCAACTACAACTTGTGTGCAAATAAAAGAAATTTGGGCCATGTCTAAAATTATTCTGTTTTTTTTTTTAAGAATATGATCTAGCTGTACTGAATTAACTAGTATGCACCATTAATTCTTTTCCATGATTTCATCTGTCATAAGCTCTGACATACTGATTTTTGAGGAAGGAAGAGACAGGGAGAGGTCTTTATCCAAGAATTATTTCTGCTTGCTTATCCACATAACACCCTTTGCCACTTGAACTTTTAGCACATAGAATGACTACAGAATCTCATTTTTCTTCCACTGCAGTATCTAAATATAAAAGAGGACTGCAATGCCATGGCTTTCTGTGCTAAGATGAGGAGCTCCAAGAAGACTGAGGTGAATCTGGAGACCCCTGAGCCAGGGGTGGAGGTGATCTTCTATCTGCCAGACGGGGAGCCCCTCCGGCTGGGCAGCGGAGAGTACACAGCAGAGGAGCTGTGCATCAAGGCCGCCCAGGAATGCCGTGAGTACAGGCAGCAGCCCAGGGCTCTGGGAGGGTTTCAGTGCAGATTGTCCCAGAAGCAGATCTGTGTATGTCTCTCCCTTGTAGTGAGCTGAGTGGAAAGAGGTGTGGCTTTTGGGAGTCGGGTTCCATGTTGCCTCTGCCACTTCACTTGCACATGATGTTAGACCAGTGATTTCCCTTCTGACAGTTTCACTTTCTTCATCTGTTGAAAACACACACACACACATATACACACACGAGTTGCTGTCAAGTCAGTTCCAACATATGGTGACCCCATTTGTGCCAGAGCAGAACTGCTGGTATTCCTTAGGGTTTTCAGTGGCTGATTTTTCAGAAATAGATTACCAGACCTTTCTTCTAAGATGTCTCTGGGTGGACTTGAACCTTCAGCGTTTTGGAAAGCATCTGAGCATGTTAACCAACACACACACAGGTTGCACCCTTCAGGGACTTCTCTTTATCTGTAAAGTACCCTTATTCCTGCTCTGTCACTAATGAGCTGTGGAATCACAGGGAAAGATGCTTGACTTCTGTGGTGCTTCAGTGCCCACCCCCATCTGCCAAATAGGAGTAATATCTGTACTAAATTAAATGATATCTAAAGCACCTGGCAAAGAATTACAAGCTCACCACCTAAAAATGTTGGAAACTTCTGTTGAAAATTGGAATCCATCCTTCTGCTGCCGTGACATACCTGTGGTAGTCAAAGTGGTGTGTCAATGTGACTGGACGATGGTTTTGAGTGGCTGGGCAGTTGGATGTAGTTATTCCCCACGTGAAACTGATAATCAGTTCCATTGTGTAATCTGCTGTGAGCAGCTGAGTAGCTGCCTTAGGGAGGTAGTCTGCTTCCAGTATATAAGAAGAAGCTTTGAGAAAGGTCTCAAGCTTTTTTTGCACATTCAGATCTTGCATTTGGCCAAGTCTTCTTCTCAGTGGCCTGCTATGTTGTCTGCTGATCTTGAGACTAGGGCTTGGACTAGTGGCCTGCCATATTGCTTGATAAATCTTGGGGCTGTTCCATTTTACTTGTCAACCTTGAGTTTGTCAGCCTCATCAGCCAGCAGCTGCCTGAGTTACAAGATGCCTCCAGCTCCAGTGGGCTGGGAGCAAGAGGCAGAGCTGAAGGCCAAAGTCAAGGGGATTTCACCCAGCCCCTAGAGCTGGCACTTTGAACTCAGACTTCTAGCCTTCTAAATTTTTAAGAGAATAAACCCCTGTTTGTTTAAAACCATCCACTTGTGGTATTTTCTGTTAGAGTGGCACTAGAAAACCAAAACACATACACACACACACACACACACCCCAGTGGTGAGGTGAAGTGAGAAGCAGAGTGTGACTTTGTGGCTTGGTCAAGGTGCCAAGTTGTGAAAAAAGCAGTGAGGCTGTGAACAACATAGTCCACCTCTTTGTAAAGTGAGGCTTATCCTACTAAAGTTAGCCTATTGCATGCAGAAGGTGGGAAACCAAACTAACAAAGATCTTTTCACTGGCACTTATACTTGGGGTCATTGGTTGTTTTTGCCCACCTCATTTTAAATAACAAGTAAAATTGAACCTTTTATAAATTACAATCCTCTTAGATTGTGATGATAGTTGTACAACTCTGTAGATAAGTTAAAATCAATTGAATTGCACACTGAGAATGGGTGGGTTTTATGGTATGTAAGTTATTTGTCAGTAACACTATTTTTAAAAAGATGTAAACATTCATTTTATGATAATGAAGTTACTAGCTAGGATGCCAGAAAGCCTGATCCATGCTTTGCATATACTATCTTCAACCCTCAGAGCAACACTGTGGGGATCCAAACCAAGCCTGCTGCTATTGAGTCGATTCCAACTCATAGTGACCTTGACAGACAGAGTAGAATTGGCCCATAGATTTCCAAGGTTGTAAATCTTTACAAAAGCAGATTGCTTCATCTTTATCCCACAGAACGGCTAGTAGGTTCAAGCCACCAGCCTTTTGGTTAATAGCCAAATGCTTTAACCACTGCTCCGTCTGTGAGAAAGAGCTCTGGTGGCATAGTGCCTAAGGCACTTGACTGCTAAGCAGAAGGCTGGTGGTTCAAACCCACCAGCCACTCCTCAGAAGGAAGGTTGGGCAATCTACTTCTGTAGTGATACTGCCTTGGAAACCCAAGGAGGGGTCGCTATGAGTCGGGTCTGACTCGATGGCACATAACAACAACAACCTTCTGAGAGATAGCACAGCTATTTTGAGAATCACCTGCCTTGTTAGTAGTAGAGTTGGTCTGAAAAATCCATTTGCTTCCTGATATATATCTTTCTGTTCAAAATGTTTCAAATAATAGAGTTCCGATAAAAGGAGGGAAATAGGTGCTAAAGAAAAGAGGATGGTAGACCCTTACTGACTAAACTTAACAAGAAATAAAATTGGCTAAGTTGTAGATTATTAGGGGAAAATGCAGTAATATTGTAAAATTATTTTGAGTAGGTGGCAAAGTATGTGAGAAAGCAGCTTTAAAAGTATTTGTAATGAGCAAAACCAATATATCTAAATTGGTCCATCTGAAGTATTTTTTAAGGCTCCATTTGTCCTCCCTCCTTTCCCTTGAGATTTGGTTTATGCGTTTATTTTCTTAGCCAAGATTCTTGTCATGAGTATATAAGGTATAAACCTCAGTTAGTTTGCTAGCAAAGGTAATTTGTCCATAATTATTGGACTGCAGTTAATGAGAGAGCAAGGAAGTGCTGCTGAAGAGAATGATAGGAGAGAGCCTGGGAGCCTGACAGTGGACTCGGCACCTATAACTATGAACTCAAGGCCATTCAGTTTGGGCCATCAGTTTCTAAGTCCAGGCTGTGGAGAATGAGTGGTGTCTCTTCTGTAACTGACTCAGGGAAATGTTGCAAACATTTTTCAGTTTTAAAAATACAGAAACACAGAATGCCACAGGTTCTTGTAGCTTCCACTGTTGTCATATGTAAGTGATGTGGGGAGGGGCAGTATTGTTTTCTTCCTGTTTTTCACTAGTATCTGGTAAAATTTAGCTCTAATTGTTTCATTCCCTTAGTAGTTCTATCTTGGTTTGAATCCCAACTCTGCGTTTTACCAGCTGAGTAACTTGAATAAAATACTAAACTTCACAGGTGGTAGTTTCTTCATCTGTAAGATGGCAGAAATACTCATTAGATGTTAGGAAGATTAAAGATAATATATGTAGAGTGACTTCGTCTGATGCCTGATCCTTAACCCTCAGTAAATACTTAGTATTGTTGTTGTTTTTATTGGTATTCAGTATTTTTATATGTATATAAAAGATGTCTTTGATCATTCTATTTATGGATAAGAATATTGTTAGAATCACAGCTGTGCTAAAATTACAGGCAGTTCCTTATTACAAATAAACTCTTCTTCAAATATGTATGTGTAAGTAGACATTCAGATATGGATATGTAAGGATATGATAAAGAAAGTCTGCATTTTCAGGCCAGTCCACAAAAGTCAATTTGTGAATGAAAAACTGTAGTATAGTCTAGATAATACTGGATGCAAAAGCCATTTGTCATTTTTCCTGAGGGGAAATGCTGTTTAAAATTTAGCTCTATCTTTTCTGTTTATAAGAAGGAATACAACATCTGAAGGGGTACTTCCCAAATTTTTAGAAAAGCTCAAGTTGACACATTCTAGAGAAGACATTGAGATGCCAGCCTCTTAACTCAGAGTCTGCACGGAGATACCACTGCCTGCCTAGGTGGGCAGGGGCAGAGAAGGTCCCTGTCAATACCAGTCTTGCTTTAGGTGTCTGACTTGGAAAACAAATGCCAGTTATCTCATATTCTCCCATGTTTTTTGGTCAGTTAAGTTCATTGTGTCTTATGGTGGGGTCTGGCTGCATATGAAAATAACAGTAATAATTCAGCATTGCTATCATCCTCTTCACCCCCATTCAGATAGGTCTGTGTAACTTTACTCATAGACTCAGAGTGAGTGGAAAGGTGCTTTCTTGGCTTCACAAGATTCCTTATCTTTTTTATCATTCTTGAATTGAAAGAGGCAAATAGTGGAGGAGGGGCGGGCAAGCGAGCACTATTGGACCAGCTTTGTGAAACATACATCTTCTTGTCAGTTTGCTGCTAATAAATAATACTTATGGTAACTGTATAGAATACTTGAGAAGTATATTTATTATTAATGGTAATAGATTTTAATCACTGACAAAAATCACTTGGTTATTATTTATTCCGACACACATTTCTTATGCTGCTGCCAGGAGCTTACTTGCATGTGTAACATGTAATCTCAGCATGTTAGAATTGTTTAAACATTACATAAGGAAACAGATTGGGGATTTCCAAAATTCCTGTAATGTTTCTGACTGTGATTAGCAAGGCATACATCAGATGGGATCTGCAAATGTTTCAGGCAGGCTTTTTCTTAAGCAGAGTTTGGTAAGACTCAGTGATCCACACTGTAATGAAAAATGTCATTCTGTTTTTACTTTAAAATGATTATACTCTGGTTTGTCAGGAGCCACAGTGTATATTTCTGGGGAGCCCTAGTTCTTGTTTCCTAAAACTGCATGATTGAACATGGTTGGCAGTCATATTTGCCCTAACAAGATATAAATGTGAGCTGGATTCTTTTTGGATGAGAGATTCTTTATCTTTGCATATATTATACATTGGAGACAGATGGCTGAATGTATCGATCCTTAATTTTCTGTTGTACTCTTCATTTTCCTCCAGGTATCTCTCCACTGTGTCACAATCTCTTTGCCCTGTACGATGAGCACACCAGGCTCTGGTATGCTCCGAATCGCACCATCACTGTTGATGACAAGACATCGCTCCGGCTGCACTACCGGATGAGGTATGGAAAGCCTAGAGCTGTGCCTGCCTGGCTTCTTCATGAGGATGAGGAATGGCGGTTGGCCTGGAACTCTGAGTCATTTATCAAGAAGTGTTACAGTCATTCTTGTAATTAGTAAATTTTGTGTGTGTGTGTGTGTGTGTGTGTGTATGGGTGCTCTGGTAGCATAGTGGCTATGGCGGTTCAAACCCACCAGCCACTCCTCGGAAGGAAGATGGGGCAATCTACTTCCGTAGTGATGCTGCCTCAGAAACCCAAGGAGGGGTCACTGTGAGTCAGATGTGACTCGACAGTACATAACAACAACAAATATATATATATATATATATATGTATGTATGTATATATGTATGAGATAGGACTTTTCCAGTTTTTGGAATATGATTCAGTATAAGCTTGATCACCCTCTTCTGCCACATTTTAAAAAAGGAATCTTTATGATGTAAAGGAGATTTTTAATAGAATCAGTACCCTGCTGCAGAGGTTTTCAACTGCATGGTTTTGAGTTTAATTTAGTGGGTTGTGACCAGAATTGTTTTAAAAAAGAGAGAATAGATAATATCAGAGTATATTACATATCATAAAGATACTGTTTTTTAAAACTTGTGTTTCAGTTGTATAATAATATGTACTTCTTGTTGTTGTTGTTATGTGCCATCGAGTCGGCCCCGACTCATAGCGACCCCTCCTTGGGTTTCCGAGGCAGTATCACTACGGAAGTAGGATTGCCCAACCTTCCTTCCGAGATAATATGTACTAGGTCATCATATATAAATGATATTTCTTACTAAGAGTTCAAATTAGAAAGCTTGAGAAACAGTAAAACGATAATGTGGAAATTCCAGTTGATCATGCTCTCAAGGAGTGAATGATTTGAATCACTCCCTGTGGATTTTTGGATATCATTTTTCTTCTGATAGATAGTTGCCTTACCTTCCATATTGTAGATATTGTTGAATGTTACAAAGTCTCCCAAAGTGAGGTAGACAGTAAGTAATTCATTGCTGTAGTCTCTTGAGCTTGCAAGTGTTTTTGTTCCATAATTAGAATTGAAATTATGTTTGCTAGATACCTTAGTAAAGGAGTTGGTAAGTAGAGAGGACACTTTTCTGAAAATGATCTTAATTTATGCAGGTTGATTAAGTCAGTAGATTAGCTCAGATGCTAATGGAATGCATAGATATGCTGAGGAAGCCCTTGGCCATCTCACAGACTCTCCCCAGTGTTTCCTTTGGGAAGTCAGCAGAATGGACACCACTGGAGAATGACTGGGCTGTTTCTCTCAGTGGCAGCTTAACTAGATTTGCTAACTTTGCTAATTATCCGAAGGCTGACTTTTTCTCTTTATTTACCTAGAGTATATATATTTATTTACCTAGAATATATTTCTTTGTATTTATCTAGAGTCTCACCTTAAGAGGCTAAGTATGTGCCATGTGAGATTTTGTACCTCAGACTTAAAACTTTCACACCACCCAGCTGAGCAGTCTGACTATATTTGGATTTGTTTTTCAAAGTGTAATCTTGCTTTCAATGGCCTGGAGGTTGACTGTGTGATCCAGCATGGAGACATGTATTTGCAGCTGCAGTAATTAAGTTCTAGCTTTTCCCCTCAAGGTGTCTATGCTTGGCTCAGAATCTAGAATTGTAGTATTTGGGAGTTGGAAGAGAGACCTGAGTTTACCTAATTCATCTTTTCCATTTTCTGATGGAAAAACATGCTCAGAAAAGGGAAGTGAGTTATCCAAAGTGATTGTATTAGACAGTGCTCTTTAAGGCACTAGTCTTTGCTGGTTTGTGTAAGTACCTTACTATTAACTGTCTGTCTTTGCTGCCTCCCCAGAAGTGCACAGCGTCTTTTTTTTTTTTTTTTTTTGGCACCTTGACTTTGTACCTGCCATTGTGCTTCAGCAGGATATTGTTTGTTACCACAGGCTCTTTGAACTTGGGGGAAAAAAATCATATACCCTAAGCTAAAACATTTGCGTTTTGACAGACTACAAAAATTTTGAAACCTCATAATCTCACCACTAAAGAAGGTGTAATATGAAAAGAAATGTTGGTGACCAAATGTTGGAATATCAGCTCTATTTTGGAAACTATTCTTACATTTTAATTAGGGTTTTCTGTTTATAAATAATGATTTTGGTAGTTGTTGGTTTATGTCTTTATGTAGGACAGTCATATTCTTTATTCCTAGAAAAATCTTTTCTTGCTTTTTCACCCAAATGAATTTCATTATTCATTAATAGAGTTCTGTAGAAACCTAGAGAGAATTCTTTGTGTGTAATATTTTCACATAAACTTAGAATATGCAGTCATCTGTAATAGAATTAGGAGCTCTGGTGGCATAGTGGAGAAGGCATTCAGGTGCTAATGAAAAATCAGCGGTTCTAAACCACTGGCTGCTCTGTGGGAGAAAAACGAGGCAATCTGCTTCCATAAAGATTTACAAACCTTGGAAACCCTCTGGGATAGGTCTCCTCTGTCCTCTAGGGTCACTATGAGTCAGAATTGACTCAGTGGCAGTGGGTTTGGTTTTGGTTTTGGTAATAGAATTAATTTTCTCAGAAACTTGCAAGGTACATATCTGGTTGATAGGTCTGTTTGTTTCTCTGTCTCTCTTTCCTTCCTGCCTGCCTAAATTCTTCTACATTATTCTCAAAAACAATCAGTATAGCTGTGACACTACTTTTGTGTTTTTTTTTTCTCTGCTTTTTTCCATTGTCATATTATAATATCAGGAATTTGTGTGTCTCAGGTTTGATGAACACGGCAATAATTTATTTAAAAAGGTTAGAAACTGTCTTCATTGCACTCTCTTGTTTTGTGTTACTAACAAGTAGGAAAGTATTGATTTTGGTAATCACTGATTTACATTTTGTTTTGTTTTGACATCTTATTAAATAGAAAACTGTTCATCTTATACTGTGGCAATTGATAGAGATCCATCCTTGTTGTAGGCTTACTTGCTGGCTTTTTGCTGTTAGCCCTTACTATAGTGTAGAAGTTACACAGGATGTTTGATATTTTTTATCCATATCCTCTCTGAACATTTTGCCAAAAGGCTTCCAAGCCAAATCTGATCCCACACAGGGCTCATATAAGAGTCCAGAAAAATTTCCTTGTTCAGACCCAGTTGAAGATTATATTTTGTCCAAAGTGGGTATATTGGGTCTTGGGCTGTACCAGTTTCAAGGACTCTTTCTCATAGAATATCCAGAGAGATGGGGAAAAAGAGGGCCATAGTTTGAATTGATTCAGGGAAAATGTTTCTTTAGTGCTAATTTTTTAAGCAAATTCCTCCATCCTTGAAATCCTTTTGCTCTTATCCCTAGGAAACTTTCCATATTGTACCTAACTCTCATTCTTTTCTCACCACCTTCTTCCTGCAATAAATGGAACTTACCTGTCCAGTATGCTGTTCTCTCAGAGCCCTACTAGGAACCTTTCAGTATGGAGTGCTTGGTACATGGTAAGCACTCAGAAACTCTCAGCTACCCTCCTTATCAGCCTGTATAGACCTTATCACCTATCTCCTTCCAGGCAGAAAACAGAACTGCAAAGTAGATCTCTAGTTATCTTATGAATGGTGAGAACTTTCCATTTTGGATTTTCCTTAGCAGTCAGTTGACCATGTCCTGGTCCATTTTTCTCTGCCCCAATGTCAAGTTTTTCTCTAACTGCTCAGGCTGGGGAGTGTTTTTACCCCTTCCTTTCTGCCTACCCATGGGAGTATATCCTGGCTGAGTCCTCCCCACCCCAGGTTCTGTTCTGCCCTTGAAGAGCAGCACCCCTCAGGCTGAGTTCAACACAGATGTAGTCCCCTGATCGGCCGATACTCCAGGCTTCTGTTGTTGTCAGTGCCAGCTGCGCTTACATACACAGAGAGCGAGGGGACCATCCAGGAGCAGCTTCTGAGACCTGATGTGGTGTTTGCTGCATATAGGCTCTAAAGATGTGCGGCCCTTTCTGTGGGTGTGAGAGATACCAAACCCCACAATCAAATTCTTAGTCACTTTCTTAAGCTATAGAGAAGATGGGCTATATAGAATCATTGAAAGTTTGAAAATGTTGATTTTACATTTAAAACAATTTATTTATCTATTTCTTTCCTCTCCATGTAAATTGTTACTCTCCTAGTTTAATTGTTGTTTATTTATCCAGCGAGCATGTGTTAAGTGCCTGTTATATGGTGGGCATTGGGGATTCAGGGGTGAGTAAGGCATCTAGGGCCTCTGCCCCCATAAAGCTCACAGAATTGCACAGAATGTTGCCATAGGCACCTGCATGTCTCTTGCTGCCTGTTGTAACTCATATTATACTTCCTTCTAAGGGCATCATACCTTATATAAGTTTGTCTCACATTTCTTCCTCAGCCTGTTATGTATGGCCCATGCTTGATAGCTGGGCATTATACATTGGCCTATACATTCTAGTCCCAGCTTCCTTTTGCTGATTTCTTCTCCTTCCTGGCCGCCTCTCCTTGCAGTGGAGAGTACCCACTCCCTCCTTAACACTCCTTTGGCACTTCATCTGAGTCTTATGTCCAGGGCCAACTTACCCATTAGGCACAGTGCCTGGCGCCCAACCGTACTATCAGGAGCCCAGGAAAATGTTCAGGTTCATTAGAATCAAGAAAAAAAGAATCCAGCCTGAATTATATTCCTTTATACCAACTCTGTTGTAAAATATAACTTTTAATGTTTTATTTATTTATTTATTTTTAATGGTGGAAAGGAGAAATACACAGTGCTTACAAGGTCACAGTGCATGCAGCCCTGCTCATGAGCATAACCCTATACATTGTACATGTTATATTACTGTTAATTGTTATTGAGAATGACTGATCACCACTATCAACCAGGAAATCACAGAGGGCAGGGACTGTGTCTGAGAACCTGTTGCATCCCAAGACCTATCACAGGCCCTGGCACAACTGAGGCTCTGCAAATATAGCTTAGTGGTGGATAGCTGAATTTAATGTAGCTTTTTTTTTTTTTGGTTGGTAAACGTTCTTTGCTGCTTCTCCATGACATGGTTGTTTTTCATCAGCACACAAGTGTGTCAAGGGGGAGAGGCACAGGCACTAGTTTGAGCCTATAATCAAGATGACTCAGCCCAGCTTGACTCAGTCACTCACACATGCTAGAACTCCCTGTTGTTAGATTTTCCTCTTACAGGTGGCAGGGAATGTAGTACTTAAGAGAACAGTCCTGTTGTCTTAAGTCACCTAGCCACATGGAACTTCTGTTTCCTTCATCTGTGAAATGGGAACAGTGAAACCTACCTTGTAGATGGCTTTGAGAATTAAATGGCATAACATGTACAGTGCTTATATGCTTAATTCATGACACTGCCGCTGATGTTTGCAGTAGTGTTTGTGTATTTCTTCTGTGTTAAGATACTGTTGGTTGTAAGCTACATCATCAATTTTATAACAGCAATTTAGGGAATGGAAAATGCTGCCCTATAAATTATACCATCCTGATTGTGTGAGGATAGATTTCATCAGTGTTAAAATGTGAACAAAGTACATCTTGGATGTGAGGCAGGATGACAGTAACCGTGAACCTCTGAGTCAAGTTAAAGGAGTTGCCAGGTCAGCATCTAGTTCCACTCAGCAGGTAGTTTCTTTTCTAGGAAGAGGGAGTAGAAAGTCAGAGGAGCTGGGAGTTAAGCACTACACTATCTTTGTGATCTTAAGGAAATCACTTTATCTCCCTGAGTCATAGAGAAGGTGCTGACAGGAGGCCTCTACAGAGTGCATGTAAGAATTATAAGAAAAGGACCTTAGAAACAACGAAGTGCTTCACAGATGAAAGTTACTCTTGCTTTGTTTGTTTTTAAGTGTCTGACAGACTGAGTGGTTGGAAACCAGAATAGAGGAACATTAGAAAAGGAAGTGCCTGGAATTTCTCAGGGGAGCTTAGCCTCTGGCACTGATCACTCTCTAGGTAGAACCAGAATGTTCCGCCCATGCATTCCTAGGTCCCCGTTCCCACAACTGAGATTTATTTTCCTCCTTCCAGGTTCTATTTCACCAACTGGCATGGAACCAACGACAATGAGCAGTCAGTGTGGCGACATTCTCCAAAGAAGCAGAAAAATGGCTATGAGAAAAAAAAAGTTCCTGATGCAACCCCTCTCCTTGATGCCAGCTCACTAGAGTATCTGTTTGCTCAGGTAAGAAGTTTGAGCCCAGGAGAACCTGGAGTTTGCTGAGTAGGTTGGGCGTTGTAGGGCTCAGATTCCTTGGTGACTTCTTCCTGCTGCAGCTCAACGTGATGCTAGTTAGGACACTTCATGTTTTGTTATGTGGGTAGTTCTTGCCACACCTGGACTTGCCCCAAGTGTAGAGGAAGAAAATAGCAACTCAGGGTCCCAGGGGGCTGGTTGTCCCACTGCTGGGTTTGAGGGCTTTTCTTTCTTTCCTATTCCCTGTCCCTGCTCCCCCCACCTTTCCCAATTTTGCTTCTCTCCAGTAGCACCTTCTTGCAGAGCAGAGCACAGAGGGCGAGCTGTAAGCTAGGGATGGTGTAGCTCAAAGGGCCTAATGAAAGCTCTCCTCTGCTCAGTAGTCAGAGAAACATTTGGGAGGAAGGAGGTAGCCTCTAAGTCACTGAGACACGGTGCTGAGTGGGTAGAAAGATTAGGCACTAGAAAAAAGCCAAAAGAGAAGTCAGAATCACCTGAAATTTCGTTATTCTGAGGTAACATTTTTGCTTAAATGCTTCCTGATTTTACCATGCAAATACATATATATAATGCACTATATATATCTTTTTCTTATTTATTATTTTTGCAGTGTCCCCACCCACCCAGTAACCAACAAAGAAAGTTTTCTTCCATATATAAACCTTTCCTTGACTGTTACATATTTTTTGAAAATGTTACCTTACTTGTTCCTATAATTTTATATAAACTGCTTTGTTTATAAATTCATAATATTCATCATCCTTCTAATGTCAATTGAAAATACAGATTTATATTATGTTAATGGCTAGATAATAATTAATTTATTCAACAAATACTTAGTGTGTATCTGTGTGTTATTTGTCTCAGATACATAGTAAAGAGCTGGAGATACTATGATGAATAAGACGGACACAGTTTTTGCCTATAGCAAATATATAATCAGGTTGGAAAGATAGAAAATAAGCAAGTAGACAAAATGATACATAGATAATACAGAAGAAATTGTGAGAAGTTCTTTGAAGGAAAAAACTTTTGAGATGGAGAATATTAGAGGGAGTTTGAATGGAGAGACCTGGAAATTTAATTAGTATGATCAGTGCGGGTCTCTCTGAAGTGGTGACATTTATACTGAATCTCAAAGAATGAAAAGGAGTGAGCAATTCTAAGAGAAGGGTGAGGAATGCTTGTGAAGATGCCTATGAAACATACAAATGGAGATTTCAGGGGGTAATTGAGTAATGAGACTGGAGTCCAGTAAAAAGGCTATCACTTATTTAACTATTCCCTTATTTCTGGACACTTTAGGTTTTTCTCCATTCTTCCCTGTTATGCTATCACTGTTATACACTGTTGTGAACAGTGTTATACATACATGTTTGTGTTCTATTGATTTTTTTTCTTAGGATACATTTTTAGACATGTGATTTTTATGTCAGAGTTATGTCCCATTATAGGACTTTACTTAGAAATCACAGATTATTCCTATGACATGTATGCCTTAGGACTGGCCTTAGAGATAAGGCATGACATTATTGTTGTTGTTGTGTGCCATCGAGTCATTTCACACTCATAGTAACCCTGTATGACAGAATAGAACTGCCTCATAGGGCTCCCTAGGCTGTAATCTTTATGGGAGCAGATCACCAAATCTTTTCTCCTGTGGAAGTGCTGATGGGCTGAGCCACCAACCTTTCAGTTACTAACTGAATGCTTAACCATTATGCCATCAGGGCTCTTTGGAAGCAAGGCAGTGTTTTCCTAGGCAAATATTATGTTGAAAAAAATAAACTGGCCATTTTCAGATGGATCTTTTTGAACCCAGCTTCCTTTCCATATCTGAGGTTTAATCTTTTACCTTTTGGGGACAGGTGTATAAAGGAAGAAATGTACTATACTTCAAGGAATAAGTGTTTCATTAGAATCTGACCTTTGCAGAGATTTGAGAATGAGTTAGTGGAGGTGGTTGTACAGTAAATGTTGACAGGAAATCACAGCCAAGCCAAGTTTCCGATTTTGTTCTGTTCTTTACACATCGGTCTCACTGACATAGATCACTGTTATTGGTTCTTATTAGTTTATGGAATTGTCAGTAACCTTTTCTTACCTAAGAGAAACAAGTCCTATCATAGAAACAAGGGGTGATAGTAGTGGGACCTCTCTATCCCAAAACCATTAAGCTAAAGTCTCTATAGAGGAAGTGAAATAACATGTTGACCTAAAAAAAAAAAAAGAACAGTAGCCATTGAGCCAGTTACAACTCACAGGTACCCCATGTGTGTCAGAATAAGACTGTATTCCACAGGGTTTCACTTGCTAATCTTTTGGAAGTAGCTCACCAGGCCTTCCAAGGTGCTTGTGGCTGGACTCAAGCTGCTACTCTTTTGTTTAGAAGCCGAAGGTGTTAACTTTTGCACCACCCAGGGACTCCACATTATGTAGGAACACCTATTCTAGATGCCATGTCTATTCTTGTTAAAAGCTAAAGAAAGTTCATAATGCTTATATTTCTGTCTGCTTTAAGTCAGTCAGCAGAGATTGTCATTGTGGCACTATGTTTACGAGCCATGGCATTGGAGTTTGGCAGAGTGAGGTTTGACTCTCAGTCCTGCCACTCACTAAGGCCCATCACACTCTATCCTTTTATTCTACTTTGTTTTTCATATCTATTTGACATTATTATATATTTCTTTATCCTTTTTTTTCTCCTTGAAATAGAATCTCTGTGAGGTCAGGAACTTGGTTTGGTTTCCTGCTAAACCCCTAGCACCTAGAAGAACATCAGGCCCATAATTGGTACTCAGTAATTACCAAATGAACCAATGAAGTCATGTCTTCACCTTTTGGCACCTCACATTCCTAACCTGTTAGTTGAAGATGGTGGTGTCAGTGTCCACCTCTTTTGTGGGGATTAAATGAAATCATAAAGGAACATAGCACAATGTCTGCTTCTGAGGTGGTTGTTGGTTGCCCTTGAGATAGTTCCAATGCATGATAGCCCCAGAATAGAACTGTGCTCCATAAGGTTTTTAAGGCTAAGATCTTTAGAAGCAGATTGCCAGGCCTGTCTTCCAAGGCACTTTGGAGTGGATTCAAACTGCCAACCTTTGATTAGTACTAATGGTTTAGTAAACAGGAGCCATTGTTGGTATTGTCATTGTTATTCTGTACAATGCAAGTAGTGGACACTACTTTTTAGTCTTTTATTTTTTGTTTTTGAGGTCCCTGTTAGCTCTTGGGATGCTGTGTCCCTCCATTAGAGAGGGGGGTGTATTTTGGTGATACATTTCACTGTTTGAAACTTGAACAGCAGATGTTGAGAAAATTTGTACATGTCTAAGTAGAATGTGAATTGCCTTCCCTCTCTTTAAATGTACATCATCTTAGGGGATGATCCCCTGTTCCCAGACCAGCATATCTCCCTTGCCCCAGTGCAGGTCCTGGTCTAATACACACTGCCTGCTTCTTTTCAGCATCACTTATACAGTAAACCTCATGGAGGAGTTGTATGTATTTATACTGTTCTTTGCCAGCATCTAGCATAGTGCCCAATAATTATTTGTTAAATGAATGAATGAGCCTCAGGAGAGCATGTCCTGAGTTCCTTAGTTATGTTGAAAAAGAGTTTGGTGCCAGAGGAACTCTAAATCTGATTATTCTCATTGCCACACTGCTTTTCTGTGTAGTACCTCCTCACTTGGGAACATTCCTCTCAAGATCAGAAATATGGATTGTTTTTTTTTAAATGTACATGGTGGCTAATTTCTTCTTGCCTTTGCTCCAAAGGGACAGTACGACTTGGTCAAATGTCTGGCTCCCATCCGAGATCCCAAGACAGAGCAGGATGGGCATGATATCGAGAATGAGTGTCTGGGAATGGCTGTTCTGGCCATCTCACACTATGCCATGATGAAGAAGATGCAGTTGCCAGAACTTCCCAAGGACATCAGGTAAATCTGATTTGATTTTGGCTACAGAATTGATTCTGAATAGTGTTATTTTTATATTTAATCTCTGTCAGCTTTTGGCTTACCCTTGCTTTCTGCAGAACCCAAATCTTATTTAGAATATTTATGAAAGGTAGCACAATTAACAATTGTGTCCTGATTTTGAATGTTGGCTGAAAACTTCAAAAGCTTGTACAAGTATGGGAGTTCAGTGCTGAGGATCTCAAATTAGTGGCCTCATGTTCTTCCTTTCCTCAGGGTGGTCATTGCTGTCAACCATAGCACTTTTTCCTTCTGACCTGTCTTAAAATCCCTCTTGGTTATGTCCACAATCAGCCATCATCACCATCATGAGCTGTAGTTTATTAGATAACTTAATTCTGATTTGAGGGAGGATCAACTGTTACCTTAAGAAAATTGTATTTACTTAAAAATATCATTTGAGATCAAGTTCTTGCAAAGGAATTTCAAGCTGTGTAATTTTTGCTCATCTATGAAATTTAATTATTTCTTCCTTATTAAAGGGCTGTTATTATTGTCATGAATAAGGACAGAGGAAATTATGCTGTATCATTTGTGATAGGTAGTACACAACTTCTCATAACTTTACTTCTTGCTTCTACTTACTCTTAGCTAAAATCTGGAGCAGATCACATGGTTAATCCTTGGTACTGCAGGGGCTAGGAGCTCTGGTGGCACTGTGGTTAAAGCATTGGGCTGCTAACCAAGAGGTCAGTGGTTCGAACCTGTCAGCCACTCCACGGGAGAAAGACAAGGCAGTCTGCTTCCACATCTAATGATATGCAGCCTTGGAAACCTTCTATGGCAGTTCTACTCTGTCCTATAGGAGCTCAGTGAGTTGAATCAACTCAGTGGCAGTGGGCTTGAATGCAGGGGCTGATTAGATACATACTCTGCTTCTACTGTCCCTTTTCCTCTAGCCTTTACTCTAGGTTTGACTATTTGTTTTTTTAAATAAGGCTCAAGTTAAAAATGTGAGCTCTCCTCTAATCTTCCCCTCTACTGCAGCATACTAATCTAAAGGAAAAATTGTGGTATTTGTTGGGGATAAATCTCAAATGTCACAATTTCCTACTGTTGTGAAATCATTCATGCAGCAAGCATTACCCTGTGCCCTACCCAGGTGTTGCCTCAGGCCTGAGAGTAATGAGCAGAAGGGTCTCCCCACTTCTTTGGTGCCCCCTCCAAAGGATTTGTTCTTTCTTTCATGAATATTCATGCTCTTCTTAAAACTGGCTCCTGCTCTGGCATTGTATTATAGTTTGCTGTGAATCTGTATATCATAGATTAGCATCTGGAGGGGTAACCAGTCTTTCATTCTACTTGTTGATCCATGTAATAATACATTCACGTGGGAAACACTATAGCTTTTATATTTAATTTGGTTTTATGTGTTTCCCTCATGTCTTAGAAAACAATATGTGATTATTATAGAAAAATTATCAAATAGATGCACAAGTAGAACAAAGTAACTGTGATCCCACCCAGAGATAGCCACTCTTGACACCTTTCAGACCATTTTCTAATTGATACTGGGTCTTTTAATAGTGTGCAGAGCCACTTCTTGGAAGGAAGGTTGAGCAGTCTACTTCCACAGAGATACCTCCTTGGAAACCCAAGGAGGGGTCGTTCTGAGTTGAATCGACTCAACGGCAGTCGTTTGTTTTGGTTTATGTAAGCACTAGTGGGCACAGAAGAAGCTCTGGTAGTATAGTGCCTAAGGCACTTGACTGCTAACCAGAAGGCTGGCGGTTCAAACCCACCAGCCACTTCTCAGAAGGAAGATGGGGCAATCTACTTCCATAGTGATACTGCCTTGGAAACCCAAGGAGGGGTTGCTGTGAGTCGGGTCCGACTTGATGGCACATAACA